GTATAGGAACGTATATGCGTGAGTTGTAAATTATTGCACATGTAGACAGCAACATATATGTCTAATACCTATGCTAGATTATCAGATTAATATTTATTCATCTACCTCGGTTGGATTTGATTGGTATGCATGCTGCTTCATGGGACATGTACGTGCGTTATGGCCAGCCATTTCACCACATGACTTGCACGTCCTTCTTTTCTTTTGCGACCCTTCAATCCCCTTCTCCTTCGCACTTTTTAGTCTCTTACCGCTACCTTTGTTCTTGGATTGTGTCGGAGGGTGAATGTTCACCTCTTGAGGAGCGGACATGCCGACAAATGATTCAAATTGGTGTTCTTTTCCAATGTTCATAGCATCTGCAATATCCCATGTTGATCAGCAGCATAAATTATATTTTTGTATAAAGTGCAATGATTTGTTTCATATTGTGCAACACGAATATATATAAAGTGCAGCACTGTATCTTATATAGTGAAAATTCTTAGGTGTGCTTTACCAGTGATTGATGTGTCCCCTGTTTGAGCAGACAGTAGCTTAATCTTGTATGCTTCAACGATTTTGGAAAATTCAATGAGGTGATCGACACAGGGCTCGGATAATCCAATGCATATATGTATATCCGACCATAGTTTGTTCAACAAACGCTTTATATCATCGGCTTGGGTACATTGTGCATCAACGCTATCGAGCACGTGAAACATGGGATTACTAATTGCTTGCTTCGTCCATCTCGACATGATATGTGCTGACGGAATGAGATCGAAGCCCAGGTCCTTGAGCACAACAAACACGTGTCTACACAACCACCCGTACAACTCAAAGTGCTTACACGAACACGTAGACGTATTTAGAACCACATCATGAATGACAACGAAGGATTTACCACTTGTCTCTTTGATTACGAATTCCATATGCCCTTCACTTTCAGTGACGTTCATTACACGACAGGTGAAACATGCTGCACATATCTCCTCTTGTACGCGGTAGAATGAGGATTTTGTGTAAACAGACCTCGCGTGCCTCTCAATCGGCAAAGGTGTCTTCAACTCAGCTAGTTGCGTCTCACTCTCGTTTTGTAGCTTGACCGTCACGTTTCATTGCGCGTCCATCGCACTCTCGAAATGTAGTAAGAACTCGACTAAGCTGGAATGGCTACTCGTGAAATGACCAAACCAATGGTTCTCACTCTCGGACCTTGATGTTGTCCTCATCAAACCGCTCATTTTGACATCTCTGAAAAATGCTGGAATCCAAAGTTCCCTCTTTGCAAATAGATCATTAAACCAATTGTGTGTTTCCAGCATATAGTCTCTCATGATTGCCGCCCATTTATCTTCAAAATCATCAGGTTTTATAGTTCGATCCCACACAATTCCATTAAGCCTTTGCCTGAATTATACATTGTTACTTATTGAATGGCCGACCTTGTCGCATAATTTAGTCATTATATGCCACATGCAAAATCGGTGTTTGCAAGTTTTGAATACCTTAGGAAACGCAATGCCGATCGAGGGATCCTGGTCGGTGACAATATACTCGGGTTCGTGCATCATTGCATCTTTGAAATTCTTAAGCACCCATTCATAAGAGTCCACGTCCTCTTTTGATATTAACGCGGCGGCAAATGTAATGCACTTGTTGTGGTTATCTATTCCGGTAAAAGGCGCAAACACCATATTGTACCTACACGTTGAGCAATTTGAGTTAGTACACAAATGATAACGTTTATATTGTGCAACCGGATAACATAAAAGGTGCAATTGCCGAATGTATAAAGTGCTATTACTTAATGCATAAAGTGCAGTTATTAATTGTATACTGTGCTATTACTGTTGACAAGTGCAAAATTATTATTGAACTGAAAAACTACGATTGGAAAAATATGTGTGGAATTTATGCCAACCTGTTGGTGTTGTACGTCGCGTCAAATGATACAACGTTCCCAAACGAACCGTAGTTCCTCCTCGAAATCGGATCAGCCCAAAAAAGCCGTTTCAAATGCTCTTTTTCGTCGAGCTCGTACTTGAAGTAGAAGGCTGATGTTGCTTCCTGACGCTTATGGAATTTATCGATAATCAATTGTGCATCAGCTCCTAAGATGTATGCACGGATTTCCCGCTTAAAATTCTTGAAATCCGTATCGGTGGCTCCGACGTTCGAATACCCTCCAACCATCTCCTTGTATAATCGGTGCGACTTGACCGGCCCTATATTCGCTTTTATGCAATTCATTACGAACGACCGATGTCCTGCATTCATCGACCTATTCATCTTCATTTGTGACCTGCAATCTTCAGATGTCATCGAGTGGCTGTGCTTTTCCTCAAAGGTTTTAACGATGTATCCATTCAATCCATCATATCGAATCCCAATCTTGGCAGTACATCCTACCCGGTTGGACACTCTACGTCTTGTCACGTGTCCTTTAGCGTGTATGGTTGGACTGATGACTGCATGATGCTTGTGACCCTCTCGCGAGCACACAAGGTACTTCCAAATAACCGTCTTGTCACGTGCTTTCACCAACGTGCTATGTCTCACGTCAAACCCAACAGTAAGAGCATAAGCATTGTAGCAGTTCACCGCTTCATGTAATTCCCGGAATCTTTGTCCTTTATATGGTTTAATCGATTCGTCACATTGTGGTATCCAATGTTTTGTTCCACCCGGTGTGATTAAAAGTTGTTGCTGTGTAACCGGCGGTTGCGTTCCTTAAGGCAATTGAAATGATTAGTAGTAATAAATAAACCTAACTATTGCACTGAAATGATCAGGCAATTGCACTAAATAGAAACGACTATTGCACTTTACCACAGTGCAGATGAAATTGTCCTCAATACCTAGTTGAGAGTCATTTAATTCCATTGTTTATGCAGCCCAACCAAGAAACCGTATGAAATCCCTAAAATCGCATGAAAAAAC